GTGCTGCAGAAGGAGCGCGGTTGAACACGTAACAGGCCATATTAATCGCCTCTGCCCAAAAGTCTTTTGTCAACCCTACATTTGAGATCATATACCTTGCTCTCTCCAAGAGTGTTCTGTTCATACGTTCGACCACACCATTTTGTTGAGGCATCATCCTAATAGTGCGATGCCGAACGATTCCTTTATTTTTGCAGAATTCATTAAAGTCACCTTCACAAAATTCCATGCCATTATCTGTTCGAAGCCGCTTAATCTGTTTACCTGTTTGCTTCTCAATCAAAGCCTTTCATTGTTTAAAGATTAGAAAAATATTATTTTTATGCTTCAGAGAATAAACCCAAACTTTCCTGGAATAATCGTCAATGAAAGTCAACATATACCTAGCACCACCCTTAGATTGAACATGAGTTGGACCCCAAAGGTCTGAATGAATATAGTCAAGAGTACCTTTCGTTTTATGAACTGCCGGAGAATTGAAGCTGACTCTTTTCTACTTTCCAAAAATGCAGTGTTCACAAAAATCTAGTGGCTCAGTACTCTGTCCGCAAAGTAGACCCCTTTTGCTTAATATGTTCAAACATTTTTCGCTCATATGACCCAAACGCATATGCCATAATTTGGTGATGTAAGAATCAGACAATGATGATGACGAGACTGCAACTGAGCCTGTGACAGTAGTTCCCTGCAAAATATATAAGCTACCAGACTTACAAGCTTTCATAACAACAAGAGCACTTCTAGAAACTTTCATAACTCCACCTTCAGCTACATATTTACACCCAAGGGCCTCTAGGGTGCCTAAAGAGATGAGATTCTTTTTTAAATCAGGAACATGTCTAACATTAGTGAGCATCCTCACAATACCATCATGCATTTTAATTCAGATTGTTCCTCTACCAACAACATCACATGCTGCATTATTGCCCATTAAAACAATTCCACCATTATAAGATTCATATGTGGAAAACAAATCTCTATTAGGACATATATGATAAGAACAACCTGAATCTAAAATCCATTCATTTTTAGACCTCTTCCTGTCATCAGTAGCAAAGAAAATATTTCCATCATTCTCATCAGCTACTACACTAGCTTCAGCAGACTCTAGTTTTCTCAATAATTTTTTCCTTTTGCTTTAATTTATTTTTCAATTTAAAGCAATCAGCCTTAACGTGCCCCATTTTATGATAATATCTACACTCCAAATTTCTATGTCTGGATTTAGATCTAGATTTAGATCTACTACTATCAAATTCTCTTTTATCCATTCTACCCTTGACAATCAGACCCTTAGCCTGATTCTCTTACTTTCCCCAGTGATATCTCTGTCTATCTACTCCTTAGATTTTTGTGCAGATTTAATTTCTTGATATAAAATTATTTCTTTTTCATAAATCATAGTATCACAGAAATGCATAAAAGATTGGGGAAGAGAACACAAAAGTAATAGGGCCTTATCCTCATCATCAATTTTTGCATCTATATTCTCCAAATCCATAACCAAGGAATCAAATTTATCAAGATGTGAGAGTATAGATGTACCTTCAGTCATCCGAAGCATATACAAATTCTGCTTTAAGTAGAGACGATTCTCTACTGTCCTCTTCATATACAAGGCTTTAAGCTTATCTCGATATGAGAGTATAGATGTACCTTCAGTCATCCGAAGCATATACAAATTCTGCTTTAAGTAGAGACGATTCTCTACTGTCCTCTTCATATACAAGGCTTTAAGCTTATCTCACATGCTCTTAGTCGTAGTCTCCGTAGCTACCTCCCGTAAAACCTCTTCAGAGAGATTTAGAATAATGCTGGATCGGGCCTTCTTATCCATACCCGCAAGATCTTCCTTTGACGTACCATCTGGAATGTTCTTAGCTCCCTGTAGTGCCAAATCAACTCCATCTTGAACTAGAATGACCTCCATCTTGAGTTGCCACATGCCGAAGTTGACATTTCTGTTGAATTTCTCGACAACGATATTTATTATTGTCATTGTTGCCAAATGATCTCAGAACCAAGCTCTGATACCAGTTTGTTAGAGCTAGCCCTAGGAAATTTACCAAAGGGTAATTTTGACAACCCAACAAAGATAATAAAACGGAAAAGATAAAAGCGACAATAACACTAGATTTACGTGATTCGGCCAATTGACCTACATCCATGGATGAAGGAGGAGCAAATCACTACTATAAAAGAGGGACTATTACAAATGCCTTAGGAAGATATTCCTAGGCCATAAAACACCAGAAATTACTGAACAAGAAAAGCCTAAAGCAAACAATTAGGTTTTCTTGTGGTGCCTCTTGTGGTACATCTGACTTCAAAGCTCAGGCCCTTATTTATAGTTCCAATAGGAGATAACAAGCCTAATTTTTCCGATGTGGGACTATGGGACTTGCCAAACTAACCAACCACCCCGAGGACGAGAGGATACAATTCCCCACAAATGACACTCAAGTCGGTAAGTCTTTGAGCGCCAACCCCCACCCACTCACGAGGGCTCAACCGACCCCGCCGGTCCGACCCTCGCCCGAGATGCTCAAGAGGCACAGCCACCTCATCATCCTACTCATTCCACCAGAAGTTCCCGACATCGGCTCGCAGACCTAACCGTGCTGACTCATCAGCCATGGTACTTTTGTTCACTAACATTTTGGCACTAGAAGGAGGGCCATTTCGCTGGAACACCTAGCAAGAGCTCGCCCCGGGAGAGAACTCCCTCCCTCCCTCCCTCCCACCGAACCAGAAAGTCAAGCCCTCCCCGGCCCTACGAACGGGAGGATACCGACTTCGACGCCAGATCGCTACTGGCATCTGTTCAACGACCCGAGATTATCGCCCCTAGGGCTTGCCCCGGGGCCCTCGGTCATGACACCTGAGGCGTTCCTTAGCCTAACCAAGCAAGTGTAGGCTATGATGGGCATGATGCAGACGCTCGCCCCAATCATCCCTCAAATCGTGCGGTTGGCGACGCCCTCGACCGATCCGACCCAGCAACCCCTGAATGGGGAGCAAGTCGGGATCGGAGAAACCCAAGAGCAAGCGACGAACCCGAGGGGTCCTCCTGGGCAAAACACACCTGCACCCTGCCGAGTCACGCTGTCTCATCTTGAGTCTGACACCATCTCGTCCGACTCGGCAGATGACTCGCTTAGAGCCCAGTTGTCCTAGGTCAACCAACGCTTGGACGCATTCTAGCGCGAGCTTCGAAAGTCGCGGAGCGAGTCCAGCGAGGGCGCCTCAGGTGGGTCTCCCTTCACTCAAGAAGTACAGGACAAGCCAGTACCCCTCAACTTCAGGCTGCCGACACTGGAAACGTACGATAGAGGCTCCGATCCCATGGAGTATGTCTCTGTATTCCGGGCCCAGATGGCCCTCTATGGCGCCTCCGATGCGCTGATGTGTTGAGCGTTTCTGACTACTTTGAGGGGGCCAGCGCGAACGTGGTTCAGCTGACTACCTCAAACCTCAGTCTCGTCCTTCGACCAGCTCGTCAAGAAATTCGAGTAAAACTTCCTCGCCAGCACGTGACTCAGGCCTTCCATGGCCACTCTGCTCGCACTATCTCAGCGCGAGGATGAGTCGCTCTCTTAGTTCATGGCATGGTTCGCCACCGAGATCCGGGGGTTTCCGGATGCTCACCCCTCTCTAATCTTGTAAGCCTTTTTGATGGGTCTGAAGCCTTCGAGGTTCTTTTGGTCATTGATCGAGAAGCTGCCAGCGACCATCTCTGAAATACTCCAACGCGCCAACCAGTACATTGTCGCCGAGGCACTAGTGGCGGGGAGGCACGTAGAAGGCAAGAAGCCAAGGTTTGAATTATCTCGGGGAACGACCTCGGCGGTTCCGACACCTCCCCACCGTGGGCTGAGCTGATAAGAGCTACTACTCCCAAGGCCCCCGCCTCTTCCCCTAAATGCGTCCCGCACCAAGATCTTGCTCCAAATCAAGGAGACGGGTCTCTTGCAGCAACCTCGTCCTATGATGGCCGCCCGTAGAGATCAATCCAAATATTGCAGGTTCCACTGGGACCACGGTCATGACACAGAGGACTACCGCGACCTCCAGAATCAAATAGAGGCACTAATCCGGAGAGGCCACCTCAGATGCTACCTCAAATCCCGAGAGGCAACTCCACGCCCCAGGGGACCCACCGAGAGACAGATCGACGTCATTTCTGGCGGGCCAGTAACTGGCGGCAACATCATGACGGCAAGAAAGGCCTACACCCGCAGCACGATGGAGAAACATCCTCGACCCGAGCACGAGCCTAAAATCACCTTTGGGGCAGGAGAGGTCGAGCGCTCCCACCATGATGATGCTTTGGTGATCTCCATCCAAATCGCCAACGCTCGAGTTAAGAGGGTGATGGTTGACACCAGGAGTTCCGCCGACGTTCTCTACTTTGATACCTTTAAGAGGCTCGACTTGACCGAGGGAGATCTCACCCCTGTGGCATCAGCACTTATAGGGTTCACGGGGGATTCCATCTCCCCATCGGGGAGGAACCGAGAGCGAAAATAGTAATGACCACCTTCATGGTAGTCGATCTGCCCTCGGCCTACAATGTCATCCTCGGCCACCCAACCCTCAACAAGATCAAGGCGGTGGTCTCCACCTACCACAGAACCATCAAGTTCCTGACCTCAGCTGGGGTTGGGGAGGCCCGAAGTGACCCAGGGGAGTCGAGGTGATGCTACCTCACTACGGTTACTCTCCCAGCAAAGTCGCACCCAACTCCGGTTCCCGACCCCCGTGGAACACTTGTACCACGAGCGACGCTCGAGCCCCTAGAGCCGCTTATTGAGGTACCCCTGAAGAGGAGTCAACCCGATCATAATGTCAAGGTCGGGACTGCACTCCCCGAAGCGGACTAGCTCCACCTTATTGATTTCCTGGGAAAGAACGTCGACATATTCACGTGGTCCCCCAAAGAGATGCCCAGGATCGCCCCAGAGGTGGCGCAACACCGACTCAACATCAACCCCGAGGCACGACCGGTAAAGCAAAGGCTAAGAAGGTTCGCCCCCAACCAGCAGAAAGTGATCAGAGACGAGGTTGATCGCCTTATAAAGGCCAGGTTTATCGCCGAGGTTAAATACCCCCGGTGGTTGTTGAATGTAGTCCTCGTTAAGAATCCTAATGGAAGCTGGAGAATGTGTATTGATTATACCGATCTCAACCGAGCATATCCCAAGGACTGCTATCCGCTCCCTAGGATAGACCAATTAGTTGATGCCATCGCAGGCCATGAACGCCTTATGTTCCTGGATGCGTTTTCGGGCTACAACCAAATCCGGATGGCGACCCAAGACCAAGAAGACACTGCCTTCGTCACTAACCGGGGAGCATATTGTTACAAGGAGATGCCCTTCAGCCTAAAGAACACTAGCGCAACTTACCAAAGAATGGTCGATAAAATTTTCAAGCACCGACTCGGGAGGAACATGGAGGTATACGTAGACAACATGATTGTAAAGAGCAGGGTCACAATGACACATTTGGCCGACCTAGCAGAAACGTTCCAAACGCTCAAGCGATTCAACATGCATCTGAACCCAGTGAAGTGCGTCTTCAGGGTCAGCTCGGGGAAGTTCCTCGGTTTTATCATTCACCAGTGGGTGATAGATGCCAACCTAGAGAAGGTACATGCCATTATCGAGATACACTCCCCTCGCTCGGTCAAAGAGGTACAGCGACTAGTCAGGAGGTTGGCAGCGCTTAGCAGGTTCGTGTCGCGTTCAGGCGACAAGTGCCTCCCCGGAGTGCGAGGAGGCCTTCGAAAAGCTGAAGGCATGCCTCGCCCACTTGCCCCAACTCGCCTCACCTAAGCCTGGCGAGACCCTCGGCCTCTACCTGGCGGCCTCAGCACAGGCCATCAGCTCGGTGTTAGTTCGGGAGGTACCACCGGCGCAGCAACCAGTGCATTACATCAGCCATATCCTCGGAGGGCCCGAGGCGCGATACTCCCTGATTGAAGCTAGCTCTCACCCTTATCATGACGGCCCAGAAGTTGCAGCCCTACTTCCAAGCCCACACGATCAAAGTGATCACCGACCAACCGCCGCGACAGACCCTTTCCAACTTTGACACATCGAGTCATATGCTCGATGGTCGGTCTAGCTCAGCGAATTTGACATTTAGTACTCCCCCAGGACCGCCATCAAAGCTCAGGTACTAGCTGATTTCATTTCTGAGCTAGCTCCCGAGGACCAGGCTGTAGGGTGACAAAGCAGCTAGTGCATGTGGACGCTGCACGTAGACGGCTTATCCACTTCCGGGGGGGGGGGCGGGGTCGGGCTTATCCTTAGAGACCCGTCGGGAGAAACCTATGAAAGATCGCTCCAATTGCAATTTTGACCCACTAACAGCGAAGCCGAGTATGAGGCGCTGCTCCATGGTCTACGCCTCGCTCTGGAGTTGCACGTAGATGATCTTGAAGTCTTCAGCGACTCCCAATTGGTGACGGGGCACGTCAATAGGAGCTGCGAAGCCCGAGACCCAACGATGGTGTCATACCTAATGGAGGTAAAGCGACTTGCCTACCGATTTAGCCACCTTTCAGTCGCCAGAATACCTCGGGCACGGAACGAGCGGGCCGATGCATTGGCCAAATCGACCTCCACCCGCATCTCTGGGTTAGCCCCAGCCACTGAGTCCGTGGAGACCCCGACAATAATGACTCACGAGGTCGCCAAAATGAATATACCACCGAATTGGATAGAGGAGATCCTCCGCTACAAAGCGGGCGGGAAGGAGCCCGACGACCCGATAGTTGCGAGATGGTTAAGGTGAGCTCAAGCCTGGTACTGCGTCATTAGTGGAAGGTTGTATTGAAGGGCTTTCTCTTAACCCCTCCTACGCTGCCTCACATTGTCGGAAGTCGAAACCGTCCTTGCCGAGCTCCATGAGGGGATTTTCGGGGAGCACATCAATGGATGAACCTTGGCCTTCAAAACCCTCCGGCAAGGGTACTATTAGCCAACCATGCACCAAGATGCCATGTCATATGTGCAGCAGTGCCCGCAATGCCAGTGACATGCCCGACTGCCACACCAGCCGGCAATTCCCCTGACTCCGATAGATGTGGCCTGGCCCTTTGCCCAATGGGGGTTCGATCTCCTCGGGCCCTTCCCTCCGACGTCAGGTCAGCGACGTTTCCTCATAGTCAGGGTCGACGACTTCACGAAGTGGGTTGAAGCCGAACCCTTGGCCTCCATTACTGAGAAGCATGTCAATAATTTCACATGGAAAAACATCATCACCCAGTTCGGGATCTCGAAGGCTATCATCGCTGACAACAGGACTCAATTCAACAACACTAAATTCAAGGCCTATTGCTAGTCGTACAGAATCCAATTGAAGTTTAGCTCGATCGCACACCCCCAAACCAACGGCCAGACCGAAATGATGAATCGAGCAATTCTGTAAGGCCTCAAGAGGAGAATCTCAGGCGCGCATGGTGCATGGGTGGATGAGCTCCCCAGCGTCCTATGGGCAATGTGAACAACTCCCAAAATCGCCTCGGGGGAGTCCCGTTCAGCTTGGCGTTCGGGACCGAGGCAGTCCTTCCGCCCGAGATGTTATTCCCGACCTTGCGCACCTCCAACTATGAGCAAGGGCACTCTGAGGAGGGACTGTGGGCTAACCTAGATCTCCTTAAGGAGAGAAGAGCTAGGGCGCATCTGCGTGCCCTGGCATACAAGAAGGTGACCGCTCGGATATACAACCGAAGGGTCCATCCGCGGTCGATCCAAGTTAGAAACCTTGTCCTCCGAAGAGTAGAAGTAAGTGACCCAACCCGAGCAAGGGGAAAGCTTGCACCCAAATAGGAAGGCCCCTATCGAGTCTATGACATGGTTCGAGAAGGAACCTACCGACTCAAGACTATGGAGGGGAGTCCCCTGCTGAGAACATGGAATGCTGCGAACCTGAAGAAATTCTACCCTTAAGGGGGAGCTAGTCGGGACACAGAAAAGATATGGGAGCCCATGCATCCACGATCGGGGAGAAGAGCAAGCTAGAGTTCCAAAATAAAAGTGCTTCTTTATTATAAAGGAGGTACATATAGCGGTCGGGCAACACGGCCCCAAGCCCAACCGGACAAAAAAAAAGAAAAAGAAAGAAAACAAAACACAAAAGAAGAGGGGGTGCAGCCCCTAGCTTGGGGGAGGAGTCATCGGCCCATCGTCGAAGGGGACATTCGCAAGCATGTCGACATCCTGGTCCACCATGTCACGGACTTAGCTGGTTTTGCCTAAGTCGTGTGGCACCCTTGTGTGTCCGTCCGCAAAGGTTAGCCTCCTCGAAGCCTCCCATTGTCCCTTAGGACCAACAAAAGAGAGAATGGGTTAGAGAGAACGCCTCAATCGGGATCCACAAGCAAACATCTCCGAAAAACACTTCATAGACAATGCAAATTACAAACAGACTTTACAAGCTCTGAACAGTTGCACAACAAAGGGTAAAATGGTCCATTACAGATCGAAAATCTCTCACACATGTCCACATGACACAACCTTTATTTACAAGCCTAAAGAGGCCACCAACTTAACTAAAATGGGACTATTACGCCTTCGGCCATCCCTCTACATGCTGTACAAGGCATGAACATACCAAAAGACACGGACATACATAAGCATTACATCAAACATCTTGTTTAGAAGTTTGTCTGTGACATTCTCCCCTACTTACTCCTTCGACGTCCTCGTTGAAGCCTTTGTCGACACTGCAACTCCTCGCCTTTGCTGAGTCTTCAATCTTCTACTTCAGCTACAATACGCCTCTTGGCTCCCAACTGCTCTCCGCTGTTGTTTTTGAGTAGTTGAACCTTTGATCCGCCATGCTGCTTCAACTCGCCAATGACTCTGACTCTAATGTGGGGTTGGCTGAGTTGTATTGATCCTTGTTGGTTCCTGCGGATCCTCTAGATGAAGGAAAAGACCATCCTTACTACGTCAGTCTCTCAAATTTCTCATGTTGCTTGAACTGGGTGGATGCTTGTTGGAGCTTTAACGAGCATCGTCTCGCAAACTTATGAAGTTTTGGGTCCTTCCTCCATAAAATTTGCTCATTGACTCTTCTTTCATTTAGTTATCACATCCAAGTAGGTTTGCATCACTTCCGCTTTCGATTGACATTTCGTTGGGAAATGAAGCGGACAATCTACTCTCAGTAGCACTGATCACCGTTGGTGAGGATTTGACAACTATTGTCTTTCATTATCTTCGAAGGGTCTTTGAACTTGTGCAGAGCTCCTCTGCTGGATAGATAAGAGAATTGGGGTACTCGATTTTGCCCATTCTCTTAAGAGTTGAGAAGGCAAAGGTTACTTGACTTCGCCCGCCTCCTCGAGGTTGTACTCCATGCATCGAGCTGGTTACTGGCCTTCGCCTGCTCTTTGCTCACACTTCTGAAGCACTTGAAGTGTTTACACTCCTTACGTTGAGTTAGTTATTGTGATTCACCTTCTCAATGCCATCGAACTTCTGGAATACAAGAAGTTTTCACCCCAACTTGGAGTAATTCTCTCATAGGTTTGGTCGCTTCTGGGATTGTACCGTCTTCTCCATCAGCCCTGCCGCCTATTCCACTGAGTAGCAAAGGTACAGCACTGCGTACTGCCTGCTTTGTTCCTTGGTTATGCACTCTAGCATGACCCGAAGTCCTTCACTTTCAGCTATCTTGATGAGAAGCTCATTGACACTGGTTTTACGAAGTTCCTCGGCCTCTGCCCTTCAGCCTTGTCTCGATACTTGGAGATTGCCTTTGCATGCTCCACCTCCTCGGCCCCTTTCACGACCAAGCGCTCTCCCTCCATGAGAGCAAGGGATCAATGACTTTCACGGAAGTCCCGCCTCTGCGGTACCATGGCGCTGCCATACCCATGGCCCTACTATCCGTCGCCTCGCATCTGCATCCCTTTTCTTCACAATCAGTAGATATGCCTCTGTGGCACTCCTCCGAGTCCACCTCCATTCTAACTGATGCTTGATTTTGGGTAGCTAAGTCCCTCTAGACTCGTCGTTGCTTCCTCGCCCCTTTCGACCCCCTACTTCAATACCTCTGTGTTCTCCAAGCAGTCCGTTTGGTCGATGGAAAGACAGACTGCAACTCCCATGCATGGCCTCTGCCATCACGTTGTAGGGTTTGCACCGATTCTATTCTCCTTAGCTTCCTTGGTAGCAACGTTCGCTTACTCGATCTTGTCCTCTGACTTGCCGGGCTCCCTTAAGCGAATATGAGCTCTGGAGCAGTCCAACTCTCCAACTGCTTCGATCGTACCTCTGCATGATCAAATCCCTCTCATGGGACTCACTGGTACTTGCATTCGAACTTTTCCCTTGGTGGAACCCAACCCCCATATGCTAATGACCAAGGTTTTCATCCGATGCCAAATTCGATGCACGTACGGAAGACCCGCTTCTACGGTACCATGGCCTTCACTCCTTGAATCCATAGCCCTTCTTGCCATCGTGTTGTTCACCGAAGTGGGGCTTCCAATAGCTCCCGATCATACCTCCATATAATCTAGTCCCTCACGGGACTATGTCGTGTGTATCACATTGCCACGAACTATTCCACCACGATCCGCTGCACCATGTCACCTCTTGGTGACATCTCTATTGCATTTTGATCCTTGTGGGATGAACTCGAATTGTGAACCCTCCATGTGTGGCCTCTGCTAATACATCGCAGGGTCTCTTCCACCTTCGATTTTGTTCGCTCCTTTGGCAATCGACCTTCATCTACCCACACTTGGGTCACACCTAGATGAAGCACTGCTCTAGGACAGTCCATCACATAGTAGCTCCCGAAGTCCCCCGACTTCGCTGCAATTAGTGCACCATTGTCTAGATCCTGGGCCTCTACCCCTACTAGTACAATCTTCGCTGCGCACTGCTTCCTTCATAACAACTCGAAGGGCAACACTGTGGCATATTCTTCAAGAGTACCCGCCTCTGCGTCCTCTTGCCCCGTGCTAAGGCCTTCTGAACCCAACTTCGCCTCCGCAAATTGAGTCGTCTTAGTTCCTCCATCAAATGCTCCTCCGAGATAAGGTGCATGTGCCCAGAAGCTCCCTTCATCTTTGGCACCATGCAAGATGAGTCCTCTCTGATAGAATGAATGACCCATGGAACAACATGATCCTACTCTTGCCTCTACAAGAGTTCATATCCTTGACCTCTGTCCAAGGAAAGCAATATGCCTCCGCTCCATGTTCTATCTTCTATGCTGGCTCCCTTCATGCGGCTTGGGTACTTTGCTAAGTTACACCCAAGTTGCTCCGCTCCTCGTTTTTGCATTGAGTTGATGGTGGCCCTCATGCCCACCATTCCACGGGTTAGCCCTCCCTTGAGTCCGATCTCATATCGACTCCAAGTGTGCCTTCATTTGATTTGCTTTGGGTCGCTCCCCCACTTGATCTCGCAATGCATCTACCAATGCATTCTCTCGAGTGAGATCATGCGACAACTCCTCGCCGCTTGCTCAGTCCATTGAGCTTCGTGGAGTTGTTGTTTATTGAGGTACTCCTCCTCAACTTATGAGGTTTGTCCCACATATTCCTCCCTCTGGAGAGCCGGGACTTATCCCTCCTGGATAACTGTCCCGTTGGAGCAACATCTCTCTTCGTTTCGGAGACCACCATCCCCTCGGACTACTTC